TGTGACTGTCTGGATGCTTTCCTGTTGCCAAGCCAGAGCTGGTTTACACCTCTCTTTTCTCATGCCAGATTTCCTTCCAGCTATTTGGGAGCGGCCTCTTTAAAACAGCCTCTACTAAATTCTGTTTCAGTGTCTGCTGGAACAGGCTCTTCCCAGTCACCTTTATGGGAACTTGCTCAGGTGTGGCTCTCAGTTGTGTTCCTGAGTTTTCACCTTCCTTTTTGCAGCAGATGACTTAGAATACCTTGTACTTCTCCATACTGCAAGACCAGAAGAGATGACTGCTCCTGGCTACAGTGACTGTAGCCCATCACCTTTTCTCAGACTAATTATGCTGGCAAACATGTTTAACAAGGTCTTAACTCCCGTGTCTGTCACTTGGGAGTTAAGACTTTGCCTCTCTGCTAGTGGAAGGGGTCAAGCGAGTGCATTCTGTGAGCCAGGTTGCATCATGCCTGTTCAGTGAGGTGTTAATGATAACCTGGCTGGCTCTGCCTGGGCTTAGTTAAGCAACAATTTTATAACCTTTTTGCTTGGGAGAGTTGCAGGCATGGCAACTGCTGGCTTCTTGTGTATGTCCTTTCCTGTGCTGCAGCCCTGCTGTTGTGCCCAGACCCCCGTGCCACTGTAAAACCTGCACTGTGAGTTGGTTCTGGGGGTCCCCATGTCCAAGGGTGCTACAAAGTTGTCTGGAGTGTTCTAACTGCTAATGTTTATGGGATATTTTTGTTTATTTAATAAAAAGCATGAAGCTTCAGATGTTCGTGCTGGAAAGCTAGGACACTTTGCTACCTACATTGTGACTCCCCCCTGCACTCTGGGCTTCTGCTTTCCCAGTCTCTTAAAGTATTTACATTGTACTGTGTTTGTTGGAAGCACTAGTTCATATTTTACATCTGTTTCTGCTATACCTCTACCTTTTGGGGGAGTTTTTCTGTTGTGGTTATAACTGCTTGATAAAGTACCTGAACTGTATTAATTCTTGGTATTGCTAAAAGCTTTTTTGATTTAACATTTTGGTTTCAGTAACTTTCTATTTTGTATTTGCAGAGTGTAGTTATGAGTTAAAGCATCTACACTTAAAGACTTGATCAGTTTATTCTTAATAAATCACATGCATAGGAATTAGTTCAAAGATAACATTCCTGGCACTTGCTCAGCAGTTGCAGTTACAAGTAATAAACCTAAAACCCAAAGCAGTCATCCCTGTCTGTTTTACTGTACGAGCTGCTTCTTTTTTTGCCATTGCTATCTCCATTTGAGCTTACTTAAAAAGTTCATCTTATCAGTCCCCTTCTGCCTGACCTTTTGCAAAGCAAATAATGTAAGTTTTGGGCTGTCCCATGTTGCATGTTTCTCACATATTGTGTTCATTAGCTGAACCCCACATTAATAGCCTAGATCTTCATGAAAGACATGGAAATGTCTTTTAGCTTTATCTTGTGGCCTGCTATACTCTTCCTTTGCTTTTCTACTACTGTTCTTCTTTTCCCAAGTTCTCAGGATGAAAAGAAAGATGCATTTTCAAAACCTCTGTTACACAGTTAGACACAAGTTATTTTAAAAGGGTTTTAGGAGATTGCTTTGTTCCTCTGTTCCTCAGGGGTGCTTCCTTTGCTTCCATCCTGCTAAGAGCTAGTTTAAAAGTTTCTCAGTTAAGTTCAGGTACATTTCAGTGGAGACCACCCACCTCATTCCATCCAAGTCGAAAACAAACAGAGAATTACAGTAGATAGCTGATCTGTTTGAAATTCCCTGGCTTCTAACTTCTGCCTCAGGTGATTTGCTTTTCTTGTGGTTTAAGTGATCCTTTGATAATCTTAAAATGATTTCTCTTTAATTTGAGGTTATTGTCCAATTTCCTGAACTGTAAACCTGGATGGCCTTAAAAAGCTCACAGATGAACTGGGTGGATGCATTACAAAACAAAGCAAACGGCTTTTAGCTACACACACATTTACCTTCTCTCTTTCATTGCTTGTAGTTATTTTCATAGAGTAATTTTCCTTAAGCACAAATGGTAATATGTAGGTACATGAGTGTTGTCACAAAATAGTTACTGCCCTTAAGTTGCCTTTCGGAGTGTCTGTGCAGGGGTGACATTCATACACTTATCACTTTGTGGCTTTTTCTACCTGGGGGATTAAAAACCAAACCACCTGATTAAAAACCTTCTGATGCTTTAACATGCCTTACATACCGTGGCACTGACAGCTCTTTTGCTAGAGGAGTGTTGAGCTCCATCAGCTTCAGAATCTTACCAGCAGCTGAATCTTACCAGCTTTTCTCTGTTGTTGTGTAGCATCTCCTTCAAGTGACACTTTGGAGGAAACTTCACTTAAGTAAACTGTTTCTCTGCTAAAGCTTGAATTTTTTTTGTCTTACTCTGACTGTAAGTGCTGATTTTGTCAATTGTCTGCCTCCTCCATGCAGCAGCTTTCCTCTCACCTCTGAGTTGGGTGCTTTGAATACAGATGTGCTTTAAGGCCTATTTTAGTTTGCTAAAATAGCTCTTGGACCGTGCTTTAGTGAACCTTCAGAATACGTGTTGTATAACACTGCTGAGCTGTAACACTGTTTATCATTTTATAAGCATAACAGCATCTATTTAAAGCAGGAACCTATAGTGTCTGCCCATACAGAGGTCAGGGTGTAGCTGTCTAATTGCTGCCATACAACAGGAAAAAATTGCCAAGTTAAAATTTGATCATTTTGGGTATTTCATTTTTTGTTCAGTCGTAAGAATTTTTGTAAGAGGGCTTTTTTACTTTAAAACAGCCTATTCATTTTATAATATATCCTTTTTTATAAGGATGGTGACAGCTAGGAGATTCCTCTTCCAGCCAAGTGATAGGCTGGGCTGTCAAACTCAGTCTGCTGCTGATTGGGACAGGTAAGAGGGAAGGGTGTTCTGAATAACCAAAACACCTGGATGGTACAAGAAGGTAAGAGGCACTCAACCATACATGGACTGAGTGCCAAATGAGGATTGTTGTTAGGAGCTGGGTCATTTTTAACCATGCTGAATCCGGAATAGCTTTTGCAGAGTAACTGGACTAATCCTTCAGTATGCTCTCAGCTGTGTAGAATGCAATTCTTTTACCATAATCATTCCTCACTCTTCCTGAGCTATTTACCCTGTAAATACAGCACCCATCCTTCTTTCCCACCAGGTCTTGTTGCACATGTCCTAGGCATTCCCTCCCAGACATAGCCTGAATCCTGTTAGGTGCTCTAGTAGTTGTGGCAAGGGCTTGGTCAGAACCTGTAAGCTTTGTAACCTCCAGCACGTGGAGATGTGTCCCATCAGTGCTGCCACAGGATGCTGCCAATGGCTGCTGAGTCTGATCAGAGCTCTTATAAATCTTACTGTGTTCAAGACTTGATGTTTTTTGTCAGAAATTCTGTCAAATGCGGGAGAGATTAGGGAGGTGGATACATGATGTGAGCTTAAGAAAATGGATTCAAAACATGTGATAAAACCCAACAAGATAAGAAGGAAAATTTCTATGTCTTTTTGTCTGGTTCTCATTTTAATGGGAAGTGAGCAGTGTTGTCATTTTTGTTTTGCTTTTTATTTTTGGAAAGTGTGGGTACACTTCTGAGAAGCTACTGTCAGTAAAGGCGTTTTCAATGAATCAGTCTCGTAGGTGGGAAAAAAACCCACCCAAAAAGCAACATTGCATGTAGCTATGAATGGAAACTGATGTTATCCCCAAGTCTGCAGGCAAACTTTATAAGCTGTCATTAATTAAGGACCTGTGTTATAGGTATGTAGTAACATTCCAGTTTTGCAGTATTGTTTGTGTTATGGTAGGCCGTGTCATATTGCAAAGGAAGCAAAAGTGTCAGGCCCAAAGAGCTGGAGAGCTGAATGTCGTGTAGAGGTGCGATATCAGGGCACAAAGAAGACACGTGATTTGTAGAGGGAGAGAGATATTCTCTTTAAAGCAAAAAAAATGAGTTTTTAAGATTATAAATGTTTTTAGTAAAAGCAGTGGTGTTACAGCTCATTTCACAACTCATTTGTAATCAGTTATTTAAACAGATACTTGTTTTCTTGTGTTAGTGTAGAATGACAATGCCAGCAGTACTGGCAGCGCAAATCGCAGTGTTTCAGCCTTACTGCTGTGACTGCTCAAGGTGAAGTCATGACACAGCTTCAGCACCAATCATCCTCTTGCACACAGGAACACAGATCTCCTATGTTTTTTCTTTCATATACAGAATGTCTGTTGCTTTCCCCCATTTTTGCTGGGCGATTCTCAGTAAATCTTGGCAAGAACTGAGTGGTAAGAAAGGAAGGCTGCCACCTGAAACGATCACTTCCATTTGCTTTTAAATACTGAAAGTCTCGCTATTCCATCACTCTTTTGGCAATGACCTTTGCTCAGAGACTACAAGGTCTAGGGCTGAAATCTTTTCTGTTATGTGTGCTGATGACTTGTTTGCAACTTCTCCTATTCACTAATGAGATGTGTATTTAAAATGTCTTCTGAAAGGTAGGAGCTGTTGTGGCAAGTCAGATCTCAGCTAAACACATACAGCATAAACAAAACGTAACTGCTGCATAAGGCATCATGCATAGCACTGAAGAGCTATGGGACCCTCTACGCAGGCATTTTAACCTTTTCCCTGGTGAATGTGTTGGTCCTACTTTCCTTGGTAGCTTTCCATTTTATTTCTACTGAAATTAAAAGTTTTCTATCTCTTCATGCCCAAAAAAATCCCTGCTTGGATGTGTCTCTTAATTCATCATTCCTACACCTCAGAGGGTGATATGTCTGAAGGCTGTAAAAAGGATGTAATAGTTTTGGTGTAAATTTAAATTTACTCGTTGCTCATGTATGGATGTAAGTGCATTCACTTCTAAGGCAAGTGAATTCTTATAATTTTCTGGCAGGAATCCTTCACTAGTGTCTATAGTCTAAACTGGAGGGACTGGGTACTGGGAGGTTTAATAACTTTATTTTTGTCTTATTTTTATAACTAACTGCCAGGTGTTACAGAAGAGGAGAGGGCTTCAGAACTGCAGAAAATAAAGAATATACCACCTATAAATAGACTGACAGTGGATATTGTGGAACTGGAAGCTCTCAGGAAGTCTGTGGAGGACTTTTTCTGCTTTTGCTATGGTGTGTGCTTCAAAGTCTTCTAAACAGATGTCCTGGATTTCTAACTTTTGTTCCAGTTGGGAGGAAAGTACCACATTATCTTAGCCTTCCAACTACACTGCTGTTAAGGTGGTAATTTTAACTTCTAGTAGCTGATTCTAAAACATACAGAAGTATTGCATAGTTTTCTTCTTGATGTTGTTTGTGGGGTGTGATGTGAAGGTATTGCACAGCCCATTTAGTTTCCTTTCAGGAAAGCCTTTATCATAGTCAGTTCCAGTGCACGTTAATGTGAGCAGTACTCGGTTTCCTGTAGAGATTTGCATCTGCACATTGCTTTCACTCCAGATCTCTCCAAGTAAAAGGTGTTATGAGGTTCTTATTCTTTCC